TCCTAACAGGCCGCGCCTCCGGGGTCCTAACCGGCCGCACCGCCTTCCGCTGCACGTGCCTGCGGAGAGATGCCCAAGTCCAAGCGCGACAAGAAAGGTGGGCAAAGCGACATGGGGGACTCAGGGGAGCCCTGCTGGCTGGGTGCCGGCTGCGATGGGGGCTGGAGGACCTTTGGGGGCGCGGAGTGGGACACCCAGACCTTCTCAGGGAGCTTCGCTGCTAGTGGCGCGGGAGCACTTGGGGATGGGGAGCCTCCCACGGCGCTGGAGCCTGGCTGGGGCAGGGGAGCGGAGACCGTGTTGCCGGCTCGAGCGTCCTCCCGAGGCCTGCTGGGCCGGGAAACGGCTTCCGAGCGCCCAGCTGCGCCCGGTCTCTCCCTGGTCCACCTTTCCACCGCAGCCCATCTCCCTTCGTTGTCCGCGCTGTCGCCACCCTGGCCGCCTCTCCCTTCCTTCAGCACGGACGTGCTCTCGCATCTGGTTCTGTACTGGCAGCTCCTGTGGCCCGGCCTGCTTATGACCCAGTCTTCCTACGGCTGACGTTCTCACTTGTCAGTTCATATGGCACCTCCTAAGCGAGCATCCCGACCATGGGGGCCTCTCTCCCCCCGGCTGTTTGGCACATTCACTCAACAGATATTTAGGGGCCTGGCACGCTCTAGGCAAAGGAGGATACAGCAAGGAAGGCCTAGAGCCCTCATTGAGCTTAGCATTGTAGTCATGGGAAGTATGTCTCTCTCCACTATACCAAAAACTGAATAACTAATGTCAGATAGTGATGAGTCCCGTGGAGTAAAAGTGAGAGAAACAGGTGCTGTAATTTTGTGTACTGTGACCAGAGAAGGTCTCTGATGAGGTGGCAAATGAGCAGAAACCTGAAGAAAGGAAGTGAACTACCCACGGAGTTACCTGGATAATGGCTTTCCAAGGAGAGGAAACAACAGTCAAACACTGACTGACAGGAGGGCGTGTTCGACATGTCCTGGGACAAGAGGCCAGTGTGGCGGGAGCAGAGGGAGCAGAGGGGGTAGGAGGATTGGGCAGAGTGAGCGGGCTTTTTAGACCTTTGCAAGGAATTGCCTTTCAGATCCGGATGAAATGTGCCCGAACAGAGGAATGACGTTTAACTTTACTTTTAAAAGATTGCCCTAGTTGCCTTGTTGAGAATGGACTGGGTAGATGGAGGCAAGGATGGAAGCCGAAAGACCAGCAGTAATCCAAGACAGAATGAGGTTGGCTTGGTCCACAGCTATAGCAGTGGAAGTGATAGAAAATGGATCATTGCGCTGTGTTGGCCCTCCTGTGCTGCACTTGCCCTGACCGGTGGGGTTGCCTTTCTGTGTGTATGCCTTGTGAAGAGGGACTAAGTCCCAGGCAGGATCAATAAGAGGCACCCTGGGCTTTGCATCTGATGCTCTTCTAAGTGTTTGTGGATTCTGGGAGGGGAGCCATGATGAGATCTGGCAAATGCCAAACCCTTCCTGGTAAGGGACCATTTGGGGCCCAGCTGTTGCTACAGTAGGGGTGCTTACTTCTCCCCCAAGTGGTATTGCTACATCCATGGGTCCAGACTGCAAAAGATGTAGCAGAGGAGGTCAGTGATGAGCCCCCAGACTTAATTCATTCCACAGCAGAGGCCAGCCATAGATGGTCTCTATGCACCATGGCCAAGAGCTGAAAGGGACCTGCCTCAGCCAGCAGGCTGGGTCTGCCACTGAAAGCACTCCGTGAGCAGGAAGGAGACCCACCCCACACCGCAGTACGGAATTCTAGGCTAAACTAAGAGGAGTGTAGGAATATCTAGTTTGTCTGCATAACAGGAAGTATATCAGCGGATCTCCCAGGTCCGGAACAACAGAAAGCACTCTGAGGACCCTGGGAATAGCCTGGCTGCCTCTCCCCAGACTGGTTTGGTCCAGACGATACTGGAGGTGAGAAAAATGAGTGTCCAGGACACCCAGCTTGTCTCTCATGTCTCCTTTTTCTTTTTTGTATTAGTTTCCTTAACCAAAACTGCTAAGCCAGCAGTAATCCAAGACAGGATGAGGTTGGCTTGGTCCATAGAAAATGGATCGTTGCGCTGTGTTGGCCCTCCTGTGCTGCACTTGCCCTGACCGGTGGGGTTGCCTTTCTGTGTGTATGCCTTGTGAAGAGGGACTAAGTCCCAGGCAGGATCAATAAGAGGCACCCTGGGCTTTGCATCTGATGCTCTTCTAAGTGTTTGTGGGTTCTGGGAGGGGAGCCATGATGAGATCTGGCAAATGCCAAACCCTTCCTGGTAAGGGACCATTTGGGGCCCAGCTGTTGCTACAGTAGGGGTGCTTACTTCTCCCCAAAGTGGTATTGCTACATCCATGGATCCAAACTGCAAAAGGTGTAGCAGAGGAGGTCAGTGATGAGCCCCCAGACTTAATTCATTCCACAGCAGAGGCCAGCCATAGATGGTCTCTGTGCACCATGGCCAAGAGCTGAAAGGGACCTGCCTCAGCCAGCAGGCTGGGTCTGCCACTGAAAGCACTCCGTGAGCAGGAAGGAGACCCACCCCACACCGCAGTACGGAATTCTAGGCTAAACTAAGAGGAGTGTAGGAATATCTAGTTTGTCTGCATAACAGGAAGTATATCAGCGGATCTCCCAGGTCCGGAACAACAGAAAGCACTCTGAGGACCCTGGGAATAGCCTGGCTGCCTCTCCCCAGACTGGTTTGGTCCAGACGATACTGGAAGTGAGAGGAGCAGGAAGAAGACCCACCCCACACCACATACAGAATTCTAGGTTAAACTAAGAGAAGTGAAGGAGTATCTAGTTTGTCTGCGTAACAGGAAATATATCAGTGGATCTCCCAGGTCCGGAACAACAGAAAGCACTCTGAGGACCCTGGGAATAGCCTGGCTGCCTCTCCCCAGACTGGTTTGGTCCAGACGATACTGGAAGTGAGAAAAAAATGAGTGTCCAGGACACCCAGCTTGTCTCTCATGTCTCCTTTTTCTTTTTTGTATTAGTTTCCTTAACCAAAACTGCTAAGAAAGGCTTGGAACTGAAACAGAACCTGATAGAAGAGGTAAGAACTTGTTCTTTTTATTTTTCCAGACCTTGTATTTGGTTTAGAAATGTGGGTATAGGACTGTATGTTGGGGAAACATGCTGTTTAAAAGGAGGAAGGGAAAGGCTGGTCCAGCCCTTTTGCTCCAGTGGCAGCACCAATAAAAATTCTCAGAGTAATGATTTCCAGCTTTGACTGAGCTCTTACTCTCCCCTGCACGGGGCTGTGTTCCATCTGTATCATTCCACTTCATCCTTCATAGGAGTTGACAGTGTCACTGTTTTGCGGTTGTGTAACTGAAGCTCACAGAGATGTGTTAGCCTGCCTGATGTCAAAAAACTGGGAGTTGTCAGGCATGGGTAAATGCACCAACTCACTGTTTGCACTATTCCGGGGGCTGCAGGCTGGGTAAGAAGGGTGTCTACTTAGCTGTGGCCAGCAATGTGGACAGAGCAGGGTGGTGAGGGAAGTGGCCACAGATAAGTCAGAACCTGGAAAGACCGTGGGATCTTGGCCCATGGCTCAGCTTCCCCGACACTTTGAGGTCACGCCTGCTCTGCTCAGGGATCCTGGCTCCGAGGCCTCCGGTTCTGAACTCCAGGTCGTAAGGGACCTGGAGCATATTCTCCCCATCGGAGGCCGGAGTGTTGCCCAACCCGTGGTGCCCCTTGAACTTCAGAGCCCCATGAATTATTCCACAGCTTCGGAAATGTGTGGACACGTACAAGTACCTGTTCATCTTCTCCGTGGCCAACATGAGGAACAGCAAGTTGAAGGACATCCGGAACGCCTGGAAGCACAGCCGGTGAGCAGGCAGCGGGCAGCCCTTTGGAGTGTGGAAAGGGCCACGCTGCTCAGTCAAAGCCCAGAGGCAGTTATTGGCTCTTGGTTACCCGAGTGACACAGATGGCATCTGAAGGACAAAGTGCCATGCCGCCACTGGAGGGCACTTTTTAACTGTGATAGCTGGTTTTGCACTGAACTTCTTGGGGGCTGGACTTGGTCATTGCTCAGGGAATGTTTGAGCATTGACCCCTCCAGGAAAAGGGGCTCCTTTACCCCTGGGGTCTAGTCTTTTTAGGAACACCCTGTCAGTTTTAGGTCAGGACGTGCTCTGGGATGCCACAGGAGCCGACAGCAGGCTGTACAAGCCATGTGGCTGGTACCTGTCCTTGGGCTGGAATGATGACAGTGCGGTTGATGATTCTGGTCTTCTGTTGCTGCACCAGCACTGGTTCAGACCATTAACGGGCCTCTTCCATACATTCAGACGGGGAGGGCAGATATCCACATAAATAATATTCAGAGTAGGCTGGTAGGCATATTGTGAATGTCGGGCTGATAGGCAGGAAACAGTGGACTGGAGACAGTGGCAGGGCTCCATGGAAGAAGTGGGAGTCTGACCATACCTCCAGCTACAAAGCAGGAGTAGAGCTGGTTTGCACTTAACTGAGGGGAGGGCTGGGCAGGCCACCTCCTTCACGGACCCCTCCTCTCTCTGTAGGATGTTCTTTGGCAAAAACAAAGTGATGATGGTGGCCTTAGGTCGAAGCCCAGCTGATGAGTACAAAGACAACCTACATCAGGTGAGTCTCTGGCCCTCACCCGGAGGGGCCAAAGCTGCCTTCTCTCCTGCTGCTCTCACGTGACATGCATCCCAGCCGGCCAGCTCGGGAAAGCAAGCTCCGGCTTTCTCGATCCAGCTGTGACCATCAAAAGCCCGGAGGGGCCAAAGCTGCCTTCTCTCCTGATGCTCTCACATGAAATGCATCCCAGCCGGCCGGCTCGGGAAAGCAAGGTCTGGCTTTAAGCTCCGGCTTTCTCGATCCAGCTGTGACCATCAAAAATGCCTCCAGATATTGCCAAATGTGGGGAGCAGGGGTGAAAATTGTCCCATCTAAAACCACTGCTCTAATGTGACCCGACCTACCCCCTTTTGTTCTTTAGGTCAGCAAGAAGTTGAGGGGTGAAGTTGGTCTCCTTTTCACCAATCGCACTAAGGAGGAAGTGAATGAGTGAGTGTTTTTGAAGCGTGGTGGGGACGAGAAAGGTTGGTGAGGACTCTGGGGAAGGAATAATCCAGGGACTTTGTACAGGGGAGACATCAGCTGGTTCCTGAAACCCATTACCAAGTCTTTATTCCTAGCACTGACTTCAGGTGGGCTGGTGGGCCAGTCAGGAACCTCCCCTCCAACCCTTTTCATTCCCCTAAGGTGGTTCACGAAATTTGCGGAAATGGACTATGCCCGAGCTGGAAACAAAGCAACGTTCACCGTGAACCTGGACCCGGGGCCCCTGGAGCAGTTCCCGCACTCCATGGAGCCACAGCTGAGGCAGCTCGGCCTGCCCACCGCCCTCAAGAAGGGTACGGGGAGGCCCCTGGAGCTGAAGGATCACAGCTGAGTGGCCAAGAGCACAGGCTCCCAAACCGGACAGGCCCCCGCTCCTCCCCTTCCTGGCTGAGCAGGTTATTTCTACCAGCTTCCATTTTCTCATAAGAAAGTGGGCTGAGTGTCTGCCTCAGGGTTGAGGTGGATGTGGACAGGAACTTATGGCCAGTACACAGCACTCAGGAGACAATGGGGGAGGCAGTCACTTCTCCCTAAAGGCTGCTGAACACCGATTAATCCGTGCCCCTGTGTGTGCGCATTCGTGGGGGGACAGGTGACCACGCAGATTCCTCCCAACTCTGGGCAGCGGACAGAAAGCTCTGCCAGAAGTAACCGCTTGCCCCCCTCCTCTGCAGGTGTAGTGACCCTGCTGTCCGACTACGAGGTGTGCAAGGAGGGCGACGTGCTGACCCCAGAGCAGGCCCGCGTCCTGGTGAGTCCGGCCTGGCCCGCCCAGCAGTCTGTAGACCATGGCGGGAGGGACCAGACACTCCTGATCACACCCGCTCCTCCTGACTCGGTTCCTTTGTCTCCTGCAGAAGCTTTTCGGGTATGAGATGGCTGAATTCAAGGTGACCATCAAATACATGTGGGATGCACAGTCCGGAAGGTTCCAACAGATGGGAGATGACTTGCCAGAGAGCGCGTCCGAGTCGGCAGAAGAATCAGAGGAAGATGACGACTGCTGACGGGCACGTGGGACTGAGGGCCTCCCGGCCGTGCCAGGTGTCATCTTGACCACACTGGACTGGCGCCGCCCCTCTTGGAGCAGCTGTTTGTTTTGCTGTGATGAAGACGAGAGGCGATAGGGACAGACTGTTTCCCTACAAAGAGTTACTGTCTGCAGGGTTTCTCCCTGTAGATGGCAAAGGAACTTTTCTCAGAAAAACAGGCCTTTGGGTTTGGACTTTTGTTCGGATTCCTAGGGTTCCTTTTGTTCACCACCTGAGTCAGCTTCCAGCACTAGTTCCTGCGAGACTTCTGGGCACAGGAGAGCAGCCTCGGGGCTTCTCTTCCCTGGCCCTCAGTGCCCTTGCCTGAAACAGGTTCGCTGAGAAAATTGGGCACCTTGGCCCTGACTGGCATGGCTCAGTTAGTTGAGCATCGTCCCATGCACCGAGAGGTTGCTGGTTCCATTCCGTCAGGGCACATGCCCAGGTCGTGGGCTCAACCCCCAGTAGGGGGCAGGCAAGAGGCAGCTGATTGATGTTTCTCTCTATGCCCCTTCCTCTAAAATCAATAAAAACATTTTATAAAAAGAAAAGCAGGCACCTTGGCTGCTCTTCCTACCCCTACACACTCTCCCAAACCAGAGCTGACAGGCTTCTGGAGGACCAGATGACAGAGGCTTTGGCTAGGACCAGAGGAAAGCCCCTGGGGAAATCGAGTGTTAATGTTCCACAGCTTCCTGCGAGGTCTTGGTGGTGACTCTAATGATAGGGTTTTGCCCAAATTGTTCTATTTGTAAATGACTCCGTGAGGCCATTTCTGAATGAGAGAAAACCTACTTCAGGTTCAGTGGCCATTTATCGTGTGTGGAAGGGCCACCTCCAGTCCCTCCTGAGAGAGAGGTCAGGCTACAGTCAGCGCAGGAGGCTGGGGAGCCCTTCCCACTGCCGCTGCCCTTCAATGGAGAGCCCCTACTCCTGCACCCTTCTCCCCAGCCCTGGGGAAGACAGGAAGGGCCGCTGGCAGCACAAGAAACAAGCTCACAGGTTTGTTTAGGCCTGGGCTACCCGTCAAGTGCCTGCTTTATTCTGACAGGAAACGCTGGAGCAACTCACGGCCCAGCCTTTACACTTTGTGAAGGCAACTGGGCGGATTCCAAGAAAATAGGAGACATTTGTGAACAGATGAGAAAAGAACAGGCTACATAAGGCAGCTTAAGGCCAGGGTGAGAGAACGGAAGGTGACAGGCGTAGTGGACCCTCCGCCGCCTCCAGCCAGGACGAGGCCTAACGGAAGTAGTTGGGACATTCATGGGCAACCAGGTGCCAGGCTTGATCAAAGGCCTGCACAACAGCTGGCTCCAGGGGCCCTTGCTTGGTGGCTGCCAGGTTCTGTTCCAGCTGCTCCAGGCTGGACATGCCCAGGATGACCGCATCCCTGTGCGCACCCTGGAAGGGGAGATGGACAGACATCAACACACCGGTACACAGTGCTGCAGTCATGCACACCCACCAGCCCTGCCCCTGCTGGATTTGGGTCTGATGTCTGTTTTTACCTTCTGTTACTCCAGAAAAAACTTACCTTGCCTTCTAACAGCTCGGAAGCCTTGCCTTCAGCCTCATCAGCAGACAGACCTAAGTTCAGAGCCTCTGCACTTGGCAGCTGGGTAAACCTGGGTTACTTACTTGACCTCTCTGGACTTCAGGCTTCCTGAACTTCGCAGGGTGATTGTGGGAATTAAAAGTTTGTGAAGTACTTTGCTTCAGGCCTGGCACTTAACAGGTGCTCAGTAAAGAGAGCCAGGCAATGCCCCAGCTGGGGGAGGGGAAACAGCAGGGAGAGGACAACCCCACCAGGGACAGAGCTGGACGCTGCAGAGCCGGCAGCCAAGCATGGAATAAATGCTAATGGTTAAGAAAGGTAGGTCTCAGATGTTCATGCCCAGTCATGTGTAGCCGTGGGAACCTGGTCAAGTAACATAGCCTCTGAGCCGGTTTCCTCAATAAAATTGGGATTATGTTGCTCTGGCTGAGTGGCTCACTTGGTTGGAGCATCATCCAGTACACCAAAAGGCTGCAGGTTCGATTCCTGGCCGGGGCACAAACCTAGGTTGCAGGTTTGATCCCCAGTTGCAGCACATACCGGAGGCAACCAATCAATGTTTCTCGCATCAATGTTTTTCTCTCTCTCTCCACCCCACCCATCTCCCTGCCTCTCTTAAAAGAAAAAAATAAAATCAGTCCTCAAGTGAGGATTAAAAAATAAAAATAAAATTAGGGTTATACCTAATAAGGCCAACAGTATTTGTGACAGGGCACTAAAGGAACTTAAGAACAAGATTACCACCCAAAAGAACTGGGCCATGGAGAAATTTCAGAGGAAGCAAAGGAGTAATCTCAAGTCACCAAATAATTGTGTCGCCCTCTCCCTTCCACCCTCCTCCACCCCTCCAACAAAGGAAAAAACAGAAGCAGAGCCTCCTGGGATGGCTGGGTTACCTGGAGCTGTGAGTGGTGGTACATCCATTGCAAGGCAGCTGAAGTCATGCTGGGGGCACTGCTGCCATATGCAGCCTGCAGAGCCTTCTCCACCAGGGCAATGGCCTTGAAGTGGTGCTCCTTCCAGAAGCTGGGCAGGTGAGGGGGGTGGCACAGAGGTCAGTAGCATGGGGTCAGTCACACTGGGGGCCACAGGCAAAGAGCCAACCAGGGCAGCTGTGTTCACCCCAACCCTACAGCATGGGGTCTGGGGGAGGGGGGGTGTTGGTGGAGGGCAGTGTCCTTTTTAGCAGTGGGTCTCCTGCCTTATTAGACAGCAGAACCTCTCAGGATGTGGCTCCCTCACCAGAGACCTCCACGACATCTTTATTCCTAAGAACACAAAGCCTGCCCTCACTTTCCCAGTGGAGCAAAGGTGGCTGGTGCAAAGGGCAGGCCCCAGGCCTCCTGAGCCTCAATCCAGGGCTCTTTCCTTCCCTCTGAGGAGGTGATAAGCATTTCCCAGGAACAGCTGTGGCCTGGACGACCACCTGGCATTAGGGCCAGGGATCCTCATTTCCTCGCAGAGGTCCCAAGAAAACAAGAAGAAGCCCCACAGAGGGTTTGGTAATTCCTGCAGGAATCCAGACACATAGGTCCAGGCTGCAAGGGAAGGCCTGGAGCCCACAGGAAAGCAGCCTAGAACTTCTCCACTCAGATATCAGGACAACAGCCCCCACCCCCAAACCCCTAACACTGACTTCTCCAGCTCACCGATCCCTGTAGATCTCAGACCAGCTATTTCCAAAGAAGCGGCCCACAGGCTGTTTCCCGTCCTTGTCCTCATACTTGTACTTGCCGGTCAGCAGGCCCCCTGTGGGAAGGCTGCAGTCAGATCCCCTGACCTGCCTTGTTCCCAGAGGCTCTTCTGGACTGGACTGGGGAAGGGGCACCAGGAAGGATGGAAGACACAGCCCAGCCTCTTGTCAAACACCTCCCTGCCCCCCAGGACCAGGAATGCCCACCCACCCCAGGAGGAGCCTTGTCCCCACAACAGCCCGTACCTGCCAAAGGGTTGTAGGCGTAGAATCTCAGTCCAAAGTGCCTGAGGCAGGGGAAGAGCTCCGTTTCCACCTGCCGGGTGGTGGCGTTGTACATGCCCTGCAGGGAGAAGGGTCGGCTGGAGAGGGTGCACATGTCAAGGGAAAGGACCCCAGCAACCTTCTTTCAAAACCCTCAGTCAAAAGCTGTCCAGGACTTCAGCAATGATTTCCCAGATCACGAGTGGTGGTAGGGGATGGGGAGACAGTGTTGGGCCCCAGGAAGGGAAACTAGACTAGAACTATCATTCCACAAACATCTGTGGGCGCCAACTGTGGGAGGGACACTGGGCTTCCAAACACGAGTAAGTCCAGCAAGTCTCTGTCCCCAAGAGATGTTAGAGGCGAGTTAAAGACACAGAGAGGAGACAGATGATCACAACAAAGGCGGATTCTATGATTATGGCAGGTGCTCACTGAACGTATGCTGATTAGGTCTGGAGATGAGAGGCCCCGCGGGAGCATCAGGAAAGAGCACTTCTACCAGGGCGAAGGGGGAGGAGTGTTCCGGGCTGACGTGCAGAGCAAGGAGGCAGGAAGGATGGGACCAAAGTATTCACGTAGGCAGAAAGGGGAGCCAGGGCCAGAGCAAGCAGGTCCCGGCTGGCCAGGCTGAGGAGCTTGCACGTCATCCTGAGGGCACCTGGGGCTCATATGCAGGCTGTGAGCAGGGGAATGGATGCTATGGAGAGGGCATGGAGTCAGTCAGAGGGGCCAAGAGAAGTCGGGATCAGCAGGAGCTCTGGAGACCGAGGCCCCTGCAGACCTGCCCCGCACCTGGTACACAGTGGGAAGGATCCAGCCGTTGCTCTTGCAGAGGGTACAGATCTCGGCCACCTCCCAGGCTGCATAGTTGGAGAGGCCAAGCTCCACAAACTTGCCCTGCAGGGGAGAGGTGGTGGTCAGAACCCAACACATTCCAGGAGACCAGGAAGAGAAGACCACAGTGAAGACCCTAGGAGTGACCCTTTAGGGCAGCCCTGGAGCCTCCACTCTCCTGGGTAATGACAGGCCAAAGAGGGAGCAGCAGACCTCCTCCCAGAGCTTGGGGTGCCACCCTCACCTCCTGGTGAAGCTGGTGGCAGGCACGTAGCGTTTCTTCCACTGGAGTGCCATGGTCAGGCGCATGCAGGTAGAAGAGGTCCACCTGGGAGCATTGCAATCGCTTCAGTGATGTCTCCAGCTGGGACCGGAGACTGTCAGGCTTCAGGGACTTCCCATCCCAGGGATTGGCCTTAGTGGCAATTTGCACTTTGGGGGAGAATGTAATAGTTGAGAGACTTATTATAACCACTTACTAGCCATGTGACCCTGGCTAAATTATTTAAGTTCCCTGAGCCTCGACTCTATAATCTGTAAAATAGGCATGATAATGGTGCTGTCTTCATTGGGAGATCATGAGGATGAACTACATGATCTTACATGTAAGTTCTCAATGTTCACTGCTGTTATAACTACTAGAGGCCCAGTGCACGAATTCGTGCACAGGTGGGGTCCCTTGGCCTGGTGGGCGATCAGGGCCAATCAGGGCCATTTAGCCAGTCCTGACTGGGGCCAGGAGGGACCATGGGAGGTTGGCCCACTGCAGGAGGTTGGCTGTGGGAGCACACTGACCACCAGGGGGCAGCTCCTGCATTGAGCTTCTGCCCCCTGGTGGTCAGTGCGGTCCTTCGGTCACTTAGGCTTTTGTATATATAGATTATCCTATCTAATAAAAGAGAAACATGGTAATTAGCCGTACGGCCGCTACCCTTCCCATTGGCTAATCAGTGAGATATGCAAATTAACTGCCAGCCAAGATGGCGGCCGGCAGCCAGGCAGCTTGAAGCAAACAGGGAGGCTTCCTTGCTTCCGTGACGGAGGAATCCAAACTTCCCCGCCTGCGCTGCGGCCTCTGAGCTTGAAGTTTGAAACATTGTAAGAAATATAGAAGCTAAACAAAACCCCAGAAACCGGCTTTAGTTAGCCAGGCTTCAGCCAGCAAGACCGCAACATTGTTTCGAATACAGAAGGTAAACAAAGGCCAGAAACCTGCTTTCAGCAGCCGAGCCTCAGAGAGAAAGCCGGCTCTCAGCTCCAGTGACAGGCATAGAAGGTAAATAAATGCCAGAA